AATAAATAATAAAGAGAGGCACATGAGGAGCTTTTCTGGGTAATAAAAGGTAATCATAGTCATCTTATGGTGTCTGCGCTCAGCCAGCTCTTTTACATTAACACTTTAAAGCAGAGGACAGGTGACTTTATTGGTGTCTTTTTATGCCTAAACACAAAATAATTGTTGTGGGAATTAAACAGTTAATGCTTTAGAAGCACATACTTTGCAATGGTTAGCCAATGTCCAGAGTAAAAGGCAAATGGTGCGCAAGTCCATAATGATTGACCAATTAAAGCAAGCCAAAAGCACATATATAGAGGATTCCTTGCCTTGCAGCAAATATGCAGTGAGTCTTACAATCATGCTTCTTTATCACTAGTGATTGGTTAAGAACCTGGTTTTTGGTAACTGAGATTGGCTAAGAATGGTTAGTACAGTACATGTGTTCTGTAAAGTAAGCCTCATGTCAAGATTACTGAACTGTGCAGTACATGCCTGAAGGTCATCAATGCTGAGATCAAGTTAGCAGGAGGGTCAACTCAGACATATGCATTGCAGCAAGACGTTATCACTACAACACACAGTAATGCCTGTACTGCAGTAAGGTCTCAAACATTTTATCTAGCACCCAGGGCGCTAAACCAACATACTTGTGTTGAAGTGCACCACAACACATGGTAACATTCTACATTCATTGCACTATGTTGATTCATACAAAATTAGTGCAGGTCCAAATTTAGGTGGTAACGCACATAAAACCAGATAGGTCTCAATAGACCCTAACAATTTTCTTTTCATATGCAACTCATGTACTGTATATCCTTTTGCTCTGTGTCTGATTCTATTCCTCAATAAATACTTATCCTTGTCGCACTCCTTACTGAAAGTCCCTCGTAATGGGGGGTGCTCGCAGTGACGGTGATGGCACAGCAAATATCAGCAAATTGTAGAAATGTCACCAGCACACCAGTCTTTTTAGCATAGCAAAAGCTTCACTTTTTGCTATACTAAAAAGACTGGTGTGCTGGTGACATTTCTGCAATTTGTTGATTCTATTCCTCTTTTCTCACCCTGCTAAAAAGATTAATTCTAATCAAAATATTACAAAAAATATTTTAAAAAACACAAAAAGATACTATAGCCCTACCCATAGCCAAGCTTAATCTGACTGCATAAGCACAAGGAAAATAACTATTTCCCTTGCGTTTAGCACAAATGTGATGTTTCCTGGATAGCAGCTTGTTCATTGATTTTATTTTATGCTTTTACTAATTTTAGGTACATGCATACATCAGCAGTTGCTATGATTCCCAGAAAGACAAAAAAGTTGCAGAAACTACAGTAAACTCTTACATCTCCAGCCAATTTTTATTTTAGGTTTGGATATTGTGGGGAATTTTTAGAACCTTTTCACACAACAAACTAAAAAAACAAGTAGCGTAAAGAGGGGGGTTAGAATCTCCGATTCCAACAGTTCATCCATTGAAAAGATTTACACTCTCTGTCTGTGTCCATGTTCTACAAGGTATCGCATGAGAAAAGTGAGTGTAAATGTCCCCAGAAGATATGAAGACAGCAATAATTGCCTAACAAATGATGTAACCCTTCCTCACGCAGATCACCGATCTGTAGGAAGTTTATGAGAAACTGTGCTTTCAGCTGTTTTATATATTTTATGAATTCCAAACATTTGGAGCTGTATGTTTGGTGGCAAATGTTCCTCTGCAGCCTGTCATAGCTGTCAGTATTGGGAGTAATTATAAGTACAGTATACACAACATAGTTCTCTTGGACTCCTGTGTCGGTTGGGCATTGTACAGTTCATGGCCAGTGACAGAAAACAATAGGCAGTCACGGTCTAAACAGTGCATATGGTGATCGGGCTACCACACCTCAACGCTCCCCAATTATGATGTGTACAGTCATTCAGTTCAATATACACTTTTGATTAGCTGCAAGAATATCACAAAAACTGCTGATATTTCAATGGCTAAACAGGAAGCACATATGGGATGCAGATTCCTAGAGGTGCCGTAATATTTGCTCACATATTTTACAGAGCACCCCAAGAGTCATGAAACTGGGCTCTGCAAATCTCAACCTCTTCTTTTGCTTCCCCTGCCTGACTCACATGGGGAGTAAGGCCACTGATCATAATAATGGACCAATAGCAAGTTAAGCTCTTAATCATTGGAGCTAGCTGTAATCTGCATAATGAAGACTCTGTAGTTTTAGGTTATGTACACCTACCATTCTAGAGCATGTGCAATGTGTAAGTGTAGAATGGAATCTCCTGATGCAGATTTCCATAACTCCTTGTAGAGCTTGGGCTTGATCCTACTACTGCCACCAGTGTAGAGCTTGGCACCTAGACTCTCTCACAAACACACACACACACACACACTTAAAAAGAATGAAAAATAACATTTACTTAACTGATAACTGATGACAGGTTACAATAAATAGCAGTGCTAGGACTCCCTCATGTTCCATCCATCTCACGGTAGGGCCAGACCTGTAGACATTGCTGCAGGCTGCCAAATTTAAATGGTCATGATGGCATTCTTCTCATTAGAAAGCCCTCTTAACAGCACACTCATTAGTCTCGGTTTTAGTGTTAAAAGCAATTTCTCAGCAGTGATGTCGGTTCCAAAATTGGAAGTCCAGCAGCGGCTCTATTCCAGACGTTTAATATAACACTAAGCTAGCTTCCAATTTAGTTTTTCTGTACTTCATAAGACTGTTCTGTAATTCTAATACTAGTTGCAGTTCAAACCTGATAACTTGTTATGATGATTATCAATGTATATTAATCCGGCAATACAATCCCCCTGTGCAGTCTCAATGACCTCAATGACTTAGAAAGTCTCACTGCAAAGGGAGATAGCAGTTGGCTAATTCAGGTAATATCAGGTATTGCACAGAATGTTTTATTTTAAAGGTTTAGATGGTGTGCAAGTTTATTTTATAAACCTGTTAAGTTATTGCTGATATCTGCATACGTGTTTACTCCAATATAAAAAAGTTTCTGCTTACCTTAGTGCTCCCATACCATGGCAAACAGTATAACCACATACATGGATGAAAGACATCTCTCACTTGCCTGCACCCTCACCCCTCCCCATCCTAATTTCTCCCACAATGCTAAGTCTGAAGAGACAAGGTAGTTTCTTCTTCCAGCCCTATAATCAGGGTTACTGTATTATGCAATATATATATAAAATGAACAAACTGTTGCAGCCTGGGGAAAAATGGACACACCTCTTTATCACCAGCCACAGACCCCACACCTTGCACAAGCAGAATAGTCAATCCCTACTTAGACATTATAGTACATCATGGCCAAGTAGAAATCAGCATGTAATTTATTCAAATCATCTGCAAAATTACATCAGACTTAGACGTCAAAAAGCCTAGAGTCATTTTGCATCACTGGGCTCACTCATAGAGCTTACTTTATTACATAGTTTAGACAGAAGATGGACATGTGTGGATTACATGGCAGAAACAGCATATTTGCATCAATAAAATACAGTCAGTTATGTGAAAAAAACCTGAGAATAGCATATAGCCGGGTTTTGGTGGCTATGCAAACACGTGAAGATAAACAAAAGTGCAAACCAGTTAAATAACACATTTTATGCCCAGGGGGTAAAGCAGAATCATTAAAAACTTGAACAAAATAATTATTTGCAACCATTAACTTATTATGCATTGTGCTCACTGCGGGATTTTCATACTGTTATATCTTCTAAAGGAGATCTGTAGAAATAGTGTCTGCATGGATAGCAGTAGTACCTTTGGGTTGTCCTACCAATGAGTCTTCGTTCACATCAATACATTTCACATATACAGGTAGGATTCAACAAAGCAAAAAGCATCAAACATTCAGTCAATTTCCCACTGGCACCCTTGATACATCAAAAACGCATAAAAGGATGAGGAAAAATATCAACATAGGTTTTAAAGTAACCCCGTACAGCAAGTACGAATGTGAAAGCCACTACAAAATACTTTCATGTATATTAAATAATATATGCATTAAATAAATGCATACTAACGTTTCCTGTTAATATATATAACACTGAGGAACCAGTAACAAAAATCAGTTCATGACATCATAAAGACATTACACTCAACTTATGTTATTTCCAGTAGGATACAGATCAAAATGACTAACAACAGTACATAATGATGGCTCTTTGAGCAAAAGAAAAAGGAAGCATTGACTGCTGGGATCATGGCACTTTATAGGTTATTAAATATTTTGCAATTCTTTTGCTTGATTATTGCCTGAACGGTTTGTGGGTGTCAGGGCAAACGTAGAAACCTATGTATTGTAATGCTGGGATCACAGAAACTGACCCTCAAGAATCCAGCCATCTCTCCCAGATTGCCACCTGCCCTGTGTTTATGAGTTGGCACAGCTTTATGGTTGGCTGTTACCTTGACAGTTCCTATATTATTGTTCATGGTTATGCCCTTTTGTCCTTGTTGGGGTAGTCAAATGCCTGTTCGGCACTAATGGTGAGGACAGGCATTTAAACTAGTGTTGAGATTATTCAGATGCTCAAAGTATTCATGTAAAAGACTGGTTTTGTCGCTACTTTGATTATATTTAATGACAATATTCAATAAATCTGTGGTCTTGACCTTTCCAAAACTGTAGCCTTGCCACTATTATGTGAGGTCTCATGTTCCTCAGCAGCCAAGAAGTACCAAAACAATCTCAAATGGAAAAAGTGTTACACCCAAACCCTTACCCTGATCCCACCTATAGTTCTTCGACTTACATACTGCCTAATTCTACAGATGCTGGGAGGGGATCCTAAGTTTAACATCTTGATTGCACTTCGAATGGATAGAAATCTGAACCAACAGTGTCAACGAACTTACTATATTAGACCTCTATCAATGTAGCACCCAGAACAATGAGAAAGCTTTCCATTCCAGATTTCCCCTTTGCATCTCGCTATGTCATGTATTATTTAATTCAATTAAAACCAAGAGCATATTACCTCAGCTAATCTGGAATGTTTGTGGACCACTTCTGTTTTGTTCATAGGAGTCAGCTGATGTAGAACACTGCGGCTGCTTGTTAAAGCCCGAGTTAAACGAGCAAACTTTGTCCATCCTGCAGAAAAAGGAAAAACAAAGATACAAAAAGAACAAGCTTTTTCAAAATGACTATAGCCATTGTAAATAACTAGGAAGTTGATCAGTTATACAGGCAGGTAGCAAACCACCATGAATCCATTGTTCAGCACCCCCTCCCCCCCCCAACCCAAGACAGCCACTTCTTCTCCAAGGCTTTACCCAGCAGAGTCAGGGGACAATTCGCCTAATTTTCTAGTCCTTGGTTCTATCTGTCATTATGTAGAGTGGCCAGACCATGTTTTTTAGCCTCTCCAGCCCTAGCTGTGGGGTGCTTTGTTGCGCCTTTCCCTGCAGAGCTACGGACCACAGATTTATCCAGTCATCCATAGAAATACAGTACTCTCTTATATGCTTATTTACACAATGTCACAGTATCCCAAGCTCAGTTAGAGCAAGGGGTGCTGCTTTTGGGCAACAAAGGCCCATTACCTACAGGATCCAGTGATGGAAATCTGACCCTGACTGTTATACTAGCCAATTGAATTAGTGGGTGGGGACAAACACACGACTGACCTTGAACAAGTATACTGACCAGAAAAAAAAAATCATAAAAAAATAAATTGTTATTTGCACACTTTCAGGACACCTATTCAGTGAGTGGAATGATTTTTTTCGTGAATTATGGTATTTTGCCAGAGCTGCCTTAAAATGTATCTAAACCCAAGAGCATAAACTTAAAATATTGCAGCTTACCAGTTCTTAGATGTATATTGCGCTAATGCAAGCCATAGTGTCATCATCATGCAAGCCATAGTTTCATATCAGTCATAGAAGACTGATATGAACAAAGACTCTTATTATGTTTAACGCAAATACACATAATTGATAATATTGTTGATGGATCACAGACCAGACCTGTACCTAGGAAATTTGGACTAATGATGTAGAGTTTGCACCACTTTCAGGAAGAGTGCAATAATCTAGGATATTAAAGAATGTATCATCCTTACCAGGCTCTCTTTTTAAAGTATATAGGTTGTGGCTTAATATTATTTCATTTATTTTTAAAACTCGGGTAATCAGAGCGAACAGCTAGCTGCTTATGTCGACATGATCCATATATTAAACCTAAAAACCTACCAAGCATAACATATAATAAAAAATGTATACACTCACTATATGGACAAAAGTATGTGAACATCCCATCCAGTGAAAGGGAATGTTAATGCTATAGCAGCCAAAGCCATTTTAGAGAATTGTGCACTTCTGACCATGTGGCAATTATTTGGTAAGGGCCTTTTCTGTTCCATCATGACTATGCTCCTGTGCACAAAGTCAGGTCCATAAAGACATTGTTTGACCAGTTTGGTGAGTGAGTATCAACAACAGTACCTGACCTCACAAATGACCTTTTGGCTTCATGGGCACAAAATTTCCACAGGCACACTCCACAATCTTGTAAAATTTGTTCACAGAAGAGTGGAGGCTGTTATAGTCACGAGGTAGATGCCATCTCTATTATTATGCTAATGGTTTTAGAATGAGATATCCAACAAGTTCATATAGGTGTCATGGTCAGGTGTCCACAAACGTTTGAGTATAAAATATATCCTGAAACTGTAAAAGCAAATTTATGAATACTAGAACAAAGCATGCAGTAAATGCTGTTTCTTATAGCAACAGGATTAATTTTTTCTATGAAACAAAGTATCAGTTTTGTTATGACAGACTGTACTTACACAGACAGCACTGAACAATTAACATAGCATATTACTCAGCGAGAATTTAAATAACACCTCAAATGACCTGTGTTACAAAACATGAACAGGATTTATACTCAACATCTGCTTGGGATTCAAGCTTACACAAGCTTAATTTCTGCAAAGGTTAAAAACATGCTTGTATTTCAGGTCAAAGAACGTGAGGCCCACAAACAAGTACAAAGTAGTTTCTCCTTTCTTCAAATGATATATTTCTTTAAACCAGGGGTGTCAAACTCAATTTAATCGTGGGCCGCATCAACATTATAGTTGCCCTCAAAAGGTATCTGTAAGACTGTGAGAAAAGGAACAAAAGAGAGCGATTCCATAGTGTAAAAATGGTATTTAATAGTAAAAACACGCAGCTCTAAGGCTGTACTTACAACAGTTTGGTAGAATAAAAACCAGTAGAATATGGTGAGAGGACGGAACCCCTGGCAGGGAGAATCTGGAGCGATGTAAAACACCAGTAACCTCGATCCCTGTATTGATAAATGGTTTACACGTTTCTGATAAAGGGGGCGTGCCCCAGAAACGCGTAAACCCTTTATTAATACAGGGATCGAGGTTACTGGTGTTTTACATTGCCCTAGATTCTCCCTGCCAGGGGTTCCGCCCTCTCACCTTATTCTACTGGTTTTTATTCTACCGAACTGTTGTAAGTACAGCCTTAGAGCTGCGTGTTTTTACTATTAAATAAAATTTTTACACTATGGAGGCGCTCTCTTTTGTTCCTTTTCTCATAGGCTGGTGATCTATCTAATCTGTGAGAGCTGCCTCCATCGTGTTTGCTGTATTTTTACTGCTGGGCTCTTTTTGGATTTGAAGGCGCCGGTATTGTTTTGCAGTATCTGTAAGACTATATAAATGTGTCTAATCTTTATCATAATTGCCTCTGCATTCGATTATCACTGGTTTTAGTAATAACTTAATACCTAGATCTGAAAGTAGAAGTCTAGGAAGTGGCCTGGTGGGCCGGATTCGGCCCCTGGGCCTTGAGTTTGACACATGTGCATTAAACCAATCCAATAAATAACTAATTAAGGATTCTAAATGCTTGTGACTTGCCTGTGCCAGTTTAGAAGCAGAGTTCTTTGCCAATAAAACAGCTTGTCTTGTTAATGATACAAAATGGGAAGAAAAATAAAATCTGGAATCTCGGATATTAATTTGTAACAGCTGAATAAAATATTAAATATTTAACTAGTTTTCTGAAAACTGTGTCTGGTTTTTGCATGGCGCAAATTGGATTGTAGAACAAAACAAAAAAAACTAACTTTTAGAACAATTTATTGGGTTTTATTCATATTCTGTGATTTTATTTTATTTAAATTTACTATTAAATGGCACTTAGGTGGTGGTATAATAAAAGCTATTGGGAAAATATTGTTTCCTAATGCATTTATTGACCTACTTTTTAAAATCATAAGCATACTGCAAATCTCATCAATCATTGTTAATGTTTTAAAATGCTTTTTGTTGGTTTTGTGTTTTGCATGTTTTTATGCTGCAAAGCTGGCCATGCAGCAGTAGAATTTCATTACAAAAAAAGTGTTTTTGAATGCTTGTTTGATTTTCTAATAGTTAATGGGGTCAAATCCACAATCTTTTTTTTTTTTTGGGAACAAACAAGATTCTAAATGTGGTTTTCTTTCAGGAACTCCAATGATATTTGTCAAGTCTGTGATGGTATTACTGAATGTTCTGACGAGATTTTTTCCGTTCTTGTGAAAATCTACCAGTGTATGGCCAGCTTTAATCTAATACTACCTGCTGACAGAAGTAGAAAGCATATTTGCACAAGTTGGTAAGCAGGCAGACCGTCATAGTGACTAATGTTGCCATCCTTCATGGTTTCGCCAATATCTGGGTTCGGTCACAACCTATTGGGCCAGTAGGATTGGCATTGGGGGAGAAGAGGAACTGGATAACACAAAGACCAAGGTTACCCCCACTCTAACCATACACCTCAGGGTTGCTCGTATTCCATTGTGCAAAAAAAAAAAGCAGTGCGACTTTTTGGGAACCTTTTGGTCTGCGTGGTGAAGTTGTTTTTTTATTGGTACTTTATTTTTTGATTGTAATAGGAGACAATGTAATACCTTAAAGCTCTGTCTACACTACGGAATTTTGAAATACTTAAGTTGTGTTCCTTGAGGTTGAACAAGGTTTTTTCTTTCTCTTTTATTGCTTATTGGATTCTCTAATGTGTCATTATTTGATAATACTTTGTGCTTGTCTCTGCATTGTAACTGTTTACTGAAAAAGAAAAAACTCTGTTCCTGCTAAATGTATGCAAGATTCTTCAAAATAAAATAAAGTATGTTTAAAAAAAAAAAAGAACTAGAAAGGAGTATTGTGATGCTACTTCATCGTCCAGTCAGTAGGCTGGAGGCAGGATGCTGACCAATTAATACTACCTAACTGTAGTAGACAAAAGAGAGTTAATTGATCAAAATGTATTTACTTGAAAACAATGGGTGTTTGGAGGTGCATTGTCAGTTGCTTCTAAAAGAGAACAGCGTTTTTGCTTAGGCAGCTCACACGCTCTAGAAATGGCCCTGGGTGCAGACTTTATATTTAGATGAAGAGGAGCACCACACAAGATGTTCAAAGCCTGTTAAGCATTTTATTTCTTCTTATAGGTTAAAAAGACACGTCAGTGGGTTTTGGGACTGTCAGATGGTTTTCTCATTCATCAGAGCTTAAACAGATCTTTAATGTGCTGGGGTACTGGACTCAATTGGGGTAAAAAAATTATTCACTTATCTATGGCTCTAGGCAGCCTAAAGCACCTCTGCTTTTGATACCCCCTAAAATACGATGAATTGTCTTTTTGACCTGTGTGAAGTAGTAAAATGCTTAAATGGACTCTGTGCATTTGATCTGTTTGATCGGTTTACCTTTAGTGTAGTAAGTGGGATAGTTTACACATATGAATTTTAAAGTGATTTTAAAGTCAAAAGGTTTTTAAACTACAGTGGTACCTCGGTTCATGAACCTAATTCGTTCCACGATTCTGGTCGCGACTCGAATCAAACTGTGATCAGACAGCGATCTCGACTAGAGGAATCCACGACCATGTGTCAGAGCGGGGGTATATGGCTGCGGTTGTTGTCATCACCTGATGCGTAGTTTGTGAACGGAAGCAACATTTTGCCAAACTTCTTGTTCGTGAACAGAAGCGTTTGTGAACCGAGGTACCACTGTATTTTAACTGCTAATGAAGTCACTTACAATGGACGCTGCTTCTTGATGTTCAAAAGTTTTAGATTCC